GAATAAGAAAGAAAAGTATTTCTTTGTGCCCTCCTCTCCCTGTTAATGCCCTACCTGCCCCCCTGGAAACACTTTGCTAGATCCACACCTGCACAGTTACCAGCTGTCAGCTGCTTAGAAAAGGATCCTGGTGTTATTTGTCTCTCAGAAACAGTTCATAACTTCAACTCATCCATGTGACCTAAAAGGTAAACCTGTTTCTCCATCACCTGTTCAGCTCTGATGATTCAGTAAGGACATCTCCTGGTTTCATCTTCATGTTTCCCTCTCACCACATATCTAAACAGACATCATGACCAGCAGCTTTACAGCTGTGGCTCCAGCAAACATCAGCTGATACTAGAAATTAATATTAAATAAATTCTAACAACAGCTGATCAAGCTTAAACGTGCTGCTGTTGTTTAGCGCGACATCTGCTGGTTTCCTCTTTCTGGCGCAAAGTGGGCGATAAATAAACAAGAGAGAAAAGCCGATCAGCTGATCATTGATCAGTTTCATGATTGAAGTAGCAACAGGAGAGGGAGGGGAGAGAATGAGAGAAGAGGCAGCTGTGCAGCGTAAAGACAGAATAACTCCAGCTTTGTGCCTTTTTCCATTCTAGCTAAAGTCCGGGACAAACTGCGTCTCTTCTCAGCTCAATACGAAACGTGTAATATTTTCTCTGAATGAGGGACTATTCCATTTTTTTAAGGAGCCGTTGGCAACTCTACTAACTAACCTTATGAATAAAATAAAGTTCACTATCAGTAACATCATAGCACCCACCCAGCTGTATATAAACTCCGTCAAGCTGGCTAGAACGCAGTACGAGTTATTGCAACTGACAGTAAAAAGTCAGCACAATGAAAATAAACTCCACCTAAACTTGGTTTATATCTGACCCAGATAGACTGCAGGTCATAACTTCTTACCTGAAGTTCAGTTCACCTGACACTCGGACTGGCGGCTGCCTCGGGGCTCTCCTCCTGCCTCCCCTTCCCTCATCCACCTGTTGCCTCTGTGGAAGCCCCGCCATAGCCACCACCAAACAACTGAGTTATTTTTACACATCTGCCAGCATCTGGCCAGTCCACCACCTCTCATTGTTCATGCCGTTACAAAAAAAATAAAAAACAAGTCACTGGGGATATGCCCGGTATGCCCGATGGCCAGTCCAGCTATGTTAACCTGCAACCAAATCTGCAGCTCCATACAGCAATGTTACGACTTAGATTATATCTTATAACGCATAACTCTTATGTTAGCTGCCCTCAGTAGCATACTGTCTGAAATATTCCACGGCTGCAATAATTCTTTAAGTGTTATTTTTTCCTTGGTATTCTAATTTCACCGAAGTTTACTAAACTCAACAAACTTAATATTACTTACCGGGACATTTATTCTGTCCTCATTTTCTTTCACCGAAAAATTGTTTCCTGCAGTGACGTCTTTCGTGCTTGGCTCTCCTACCTTTGCTAACATGATGCACATAGCGCAGAAGCCGATGCTGCATTCACTTACACTCGGATATCTGAACGTCACCGTGAAAACATAATCGGACATTTGATATTTGATTGAATTTTATTGTTTTGCCTTCGGGGTGGCACCTGGGGTGGCCAGTCTGGTTGGGGGGGTGGCCCAGGCCACCCCGCTGGACACGCCATTGCCAGTACCAGAGAACAGCAATATGACTCTGACCTGCAGCAGTAATGCCAACCCAGCAGTAGAAAACTACACCTGGTACAGAGCTGATGGAGACCAGGAGACTTTTATTAGGACAGGAATCAGCTTAAATATTAAAGTGTCCAGAGACAAAAGAAGATTTTTCTGCAAAGCTGAAAATGAGATCGGGGTTGGACGTTCTAACCTGACTCACCTTGATGTTCAGTGTATGTATCACACAATTAAAATATTTTAAGGTTTAAGCATAACTTGAGCAGCTATAATATATGCATGGTATCATTATTCATTGCAGATTGTGAAACACAGTGTGGATTTTACAGTGGAGTCCTTCCTTGGGTCCTTGCTGGTGTGTTTTTCAGTGTCACCGTGATCTGTGCAGCTTTCCTTTGGTATGTTTTAAAACTGGTTGTTGATTAAAACTAAAAGTCCTGCAGATGTTTCCATAAAATATTTTTCAATAAATGTTTTGTATTCTTCTAGCAAAGTACAAAAGAATGTGAAGCCACAAGAAGAGGACAGAACTTACATGTCACTGAATCGTAGAAATGTCGGCTCTTCAGAGTATGATGTCATTAACACAACTCCAAAGTGACCTTCACTGATCCTTCAGAATATATCTAATTTTGTTTTATTTTGTGTTTCTAGAGAAATAATTATGAGGTCTCATATTTTCAAATATGAAGTCTCAACAGAGTGAGCAACAGAGTGATAATATCTGAAAAAAAAGATCAGTTACGTCTCGTGGCCATAAAATGTTGAAGCCTCAATTTCATAATTTTTAAAGAAAGTCCACATCCTCTGTTAGCCCCTGCAAATGTAGTCTCAGCAGAAATCCCATAATGTCTCTTTGACAGTACAGCAGCAGTCACATAGATTGCATAAACGGTGCTCGGCGTGGAGGCCTCAGGCTCATGTCCCGACAGAGAACAAAAATTAATTGCTGGATCTTACAGATTGAATCTCCACTATGAGACTACATCCACAGATAAACACAAAACCTTGACTGATGAAGCGTAGCGAGGGAAATATGTACCTAACCAAAGTCTACTTGCACATGAATTGACAACCTGATGAATACTTTCATGAGAAAGTTGCAGTTTTGTTCAGCTTCATCCTTATTCAGATGCTAAAAGTGAAGATCTTGGTTAGGATCAATCTTCATTTGTAAATAAACGTTCTCAGTGTTGATACAGATACAGATCCTCCCTCGGTGACGATCACCTGTCCATCGCCCTTTTCATTTCCACCTCAGATACTGAACTTGACTTTAAAGCACTTGTTAAAGCCCAAAAAAGATGACACAAGAAAACAGAGCTGAAAAACTGAAGATGAAGTAATCAAAATACAAGCAAACTACTAGGCTGCAAGCATTAAAAGAAAATGGATGAAGAAGTGCTATTGCAGCTGTTTCGGACTGAAACAGTCCTGCCGTGGTCATCCTGCATCACAGCATCAGTCTGTAGTTATCACTGCAGGTGATGATCTCCAGAGTGAATCAAAAGTTGTAACTTCTCCATCTGTGGCTATAGTTCAGGAGGTAGCATAGGTCGTCTAGTAATCGGAAGTTTGTGGTTGCAGACTGGCTGCTCCAGGCTGCATGTAGACTTGGGCAAGATACTAACCCTGAGGTGCTCTCCGATACATTCATCAGGATGTGAATATAAGATAGAAAGCACTTGTGCAAAAAAAGTATATAAAAATCTCTTTGTATGAATGGGTGAATGAGGCCAGCTGTATAAAGCTCCTGGAGTGCTCAGAGTGCAAAAGTGCCGGATAAAAATCAGTCATTTTACCATCTTCTTTGTCTAATCCTCTTGAGTAATGTGGTCTGTGTGTGGATCCTTTTGGAGCAGCCACAGTTGCTGCAGGTGTCCTGAATTGATTGGTGGGTTTTCTCTTCTGCTGAGAGCCTTCTGCTGATAACATGTGAGAGAAGAGCAGGTGTGAGAAAACAGAATCCATAAATCATGACAATAGTTTGATTTTTGCTGTGATAATGACATTTAGATGATTACATTGTCTGTCATTAAAATTGGGTGTAGCAGGAAGCCTGGATGTCAGATGTCCTGATGGAGACAGACTGTCAGACCCGACTGGGTCACTGAAAGCTGTAATGCTCAGAGAGTGATCTGCTCAGCTCTTTCATCCATTTATTAATATAATCACTGATGTTGTATTTCATAGACACAAACTCAACAGAAGCAGCTCAGCCTGTCTCAGGCAGTGTTGAAGTTCACCTTTATCACCTTTATCACAGACACAGCATCATCTCCATCATCACCATACAGATGATGTAATGACCTCTTAGCAGCTTAGTGCATGTTATTTGATTCACATTAATAGAGAGGAATAAACGCTTTTATGAGTTGTATTATCCTCTCATCATCTCATACATCGTTTCAATCATTTTCAGGCTCTAAACATATAAACTAACAGTGGGAGAAGTCACCAGAGTCGTTTACACAAATAAAACAGCTGTAAACAGCATTAATGCTACCCGGTTAACACAGCACACTGACCAACATTGTACATGATGAGTTACAACCAGTAAAGTGAATAACTCAGACGAGAGTTACTCACTTTACTAACCCAAATACAAGTTATTAATGTGGAGTGATTGCAAATGTTTACAGCAGTTTCTATGTTGCAGAGATCGTGGAAAGAAAAAAGGTGACAGTCACTTCTGGTCATGTTCACACTCACTGTGTCTTTTGTGTTAGTTCCTCATTTTACATCTTTTTTGAACACTTCCTTAAAAACCTCACATCCAAAGAACTGACTGCTCGACAAACATCATGAAATATTGTAAGCTATCACATTTTCACTATGATACGAATATCAAGGTTTTATGAAAATATGATGTGATTTTCTGTAGTTCTTTGATTCACAGATATTTAGATGAATTGTCATATTTTTGACGTTTGTAGAAAAATGAATCCAAAGAAAATTAAAAACTTTATGAGACTATTAAGACATGAATTCACGGTCTTTAGTAGAATTTTTCAGAAATCAGAAACATAAATTATGTTTAATTGTTGAAGAATATTTTTAATAAATTGTATAACTGCTTTAGACTTACACCTTCCTCTTTCTTCTCTTTCATCATTTAATGTTTAAATTTTGTGAAATCAACACTGTATGTATATACTCTAATTCTTTCAAGGCTGAACATTTATGTATCTATATTTTTCAAAGTGACAATAACTAGCAGTAGTAATTTGGACCTTACATGACATCTTAACAGCTTTTCCTTGGTTAACAAATAATCATGTAAACTGTTTCCTGTGTAAACTTCAGATTCCCTTAAACTTCACTCTCTTGCAACAAAGATGGCTGGAACTCTGACTTTTCTTCTCGTTAGTTCTCTGCTGCAGGGTGAGTGAAAGAAACTCAAAATCTTCTTTGCTGAAAACATGATTAAAGTTGATAATAATAATACACTATTGTTAATTTAAATCATTTACTTAAATTATCTGACATCAGTATTCAAGATGAATGTGCAGTAAAGTACCAAGGCTTTTTATTGATGAGATATTTAACAGTAAAAGTGTTTTGTATTAGCATCTGAATTTAATACTGAGTCGCTGTAACATGATAAATATGAAGGAAGAGATAAAACTGTTTGGGTTTTTGTTGTTATTGTTGTTTTTTATTATTGTGTTGTGTTTCAGGTGCGCTGTGCGGAACGTTCAACGTCAATATACCACAGAAGATAAATGTTTTGAGAGGATCCTGTGTGAACATCCCCTGCTCCTTCGATGTAGACAACACGCATGATAAGAACTTAGATAATTCATGTAAAGCATATTGGAGTGATTCATCTTCATTTACCAGTGAAAATGCAAAACTAAAGCCAACTAAAGAAATGACAGGAGACTTAACAAAGAAAGACTGCACCACAACTTTCAATAATGCAAGTCTTCTTCAAAGTGCTAAATACTATTTCAGACTGGAGTGTAATAATCCACTGAAATTCACTTTTACCCAAGCTGGTGTAGATATTTCACTCATAGGTAAGATATTTTTTTTTCATCCATTTACTGACAATTCATGAACAAATTACACTTGTGGAACTGCTTTGAGCTTGCTCTGAATTCACTGGATTTTACTCAGCATATAAAAACTGAAACTGCTGCTCATTGACTGACCAGAATGTCTTCCCACCAGCTGCTCCTCCCTCACCGACTCTGACTCCATCCACACTGGAGGTGGAGGAGGGGGCCTCAGTGAGTCTGACGTGCTCTTCTCCAGCTCCATGTTGGTCTCATCCTCCAGCTCTGACATGGAGCCCTAACCTGGGTCAGAGTCAGGAGACACTGCAGGAGAATCAGGACAAAACTAAAGTCAAGACCTCTGTTATGAATTTCAATGCTTCTCACCTCCATCATGGAAATAAAATCTCCTGCACTGCTGTCTACCAGAAACAAGATGGTATCCCTGATGTCACTGCTGAAACAAGTTTAACTCCTGATATTTCATGTGAGTTTATTTTTTCTCTTCTAAACTGAAATTACAATAATATACTTTCTTGACTTGGTTTAAATTAGACATAAAATGGTCAGTCAATTACAGTGATGTTATGAGTATGCCATAACAACGTCTTTGGGTTTTATAAAATATAATGAAGACTTTAAAAGTTTGAATTTAATTTCATACTTTAATTTCATACATGCAGACTGTACACTGATGTGTGATCGTCTTAACGATGTACGTTTTTCTTTTGTTAGCTTTGTATTTTACTTTAGGATGTCTTCAAAACTAACAACACAAAACCACGTTTAGTGAGTCATGTTCCACAGTGGTTTTTTATTTAAACAGCAGCTTTTCATTTACATCCTATTATAACATTATAGTGTTTCTAATTTAACACATGAGCTTGTCGGAACTTTCAGATTCACTCTAAAGCTCGAACAAGAAAGTAGAATTGCAGTTTTATTTTAGACATTTGGCTTTGTGGTCTGTAATAAGAAGTTCTATTAATAGTTCAGCTAAAGTGCAAAATGACCTTTGATGTTTGATTTACGTAATATTACATTTAACACATTATCATAATACTCATTTTTAGATTCACCCAAAGATGTACAAATTTCCATCAGTCCTTCTGCTCCAATATTAGAAAACCAAAAAGTGACTCTGACGTGCAGCAGTAATGCCAACCCAGCAGTAGAAAACTACACCTGGTACAGAGCTGATGGAGACCAGGAGACTTTTATTGGGACTGGAAGCTCTTTTAATGTTACCGTTTCAAAAGTCAAAAGTACATTTTTCTGCAAGGCTACAAATGAACTTGGATTTAAACGATCAAGCAACCTACAAATAAATGTTCAATGTATGCATTAATTTAATTAATTTTCCATATTTACTCTTTACATATCCCAACTAGAATTCTATTAATGGGATTGAAGGATGTACAATACATGAATTATTGTAATGAAACTAAAGCATTAACTGATCTTTGGGGTGGAGTTAAATAATGAGACTGACAATAATCACATTACAAGTAGTTAATTTAATTTAAGTATTGGTTATTGGTTATTATTGGTTATTACTTGACTTGACTTGACTTGACTTGACTTAAAATTAGGGATTTCTGACAGCCACATTATTAGGCACATAGTAAGAAGAACTAAAAAAAATTCAAACTTTCTTCAGATAGCTCTAAATCTTTCATCAATAAATCAGTTAAAGTTAAAGACAGAAGAAAAGGTTATTTCATTTGACATGAACAGAGTCTTCAGAAAGAAAAGCCAAGAAAAACAACTTGTCATTTTTACTCTTCAGTTTCTGCTTAAGATGAAACCTTTATATTGGTGTGGTTTGGTCTCTGCTAATATTTAAAGATACAATTTTGTGTTATGCATTCAAGAGTATTTAATATTATTTAAAAAAAACATTTGAAGCACTACTGTATTACAAATATTTACACTTATTCTGTAAATAAAACTGTCCTAACATTTCAGTCTGCATGTTTCTGTGCTCATTTTTTCAGATTCACCTAAAAACGTTACTGTTTCAGTCAGTCCTTCTGGTCCAGTACCAGAGAACAGCAACGTGACTCTAACCTGCAGCAGTAATGCCAACCCAGCAGTAGAAAACTACACCTGGTACAGTGCAGATGGAAACCAGGATACTTTTATTGGGACAGGAATGGATTTATCTATTAAAGTCTCCAAAGACAGACGGATATTGTTTTGCAAAGCTGGAAATGAGATTGGAGTTGGACGTTCCAGCAGCATTCAAATTGAAGTTCAATGTAAATATCACATTTTACATCTCTTTAACATTTTCTCTATCCACATCTAATTTGCATGTACATTTGTATAATATTACGATTCAACAACAAAAAAGAAAAGAGAAAGAGGCAGACTAATTCAATGACAAAAATGACCTTTGTTTAGCCAGAGCAGGAGACAATATAAACAGAGTACAATGCCAAGAATCCAGCAAATGAGGAAAAATGGGTATATCTTAAAAACTGGCACAAGCACATCTGGACCAGACAGGACCAGACTGCAGCAAAGGAGAAAGCATTATATGCACAAAGGGTAATCAGTTAATGAAACACAGGAGGGTCACAACAGGCTCCCACAAAAAGTCAAGACAATTAATGAAGAAGAGACAAGTAAACTTAAGAGCACTACACAATTACAAAAAAAAAGTTAGGAACCATATAAAATACAAAAAGGGAAAATCAGACACAAAACTGAAGAAAGGAAATACAGAGAAGGAAAACAGAGAAATACTGAGCGAAATAAAAAAAACTCTAATACAAATAGAAACTGTAACTAAGAGAACTAAATACATGAAGATGAAGATGTGATAAAGTAACTACTAGCCAAACAGATGATGTTAACAATATATAAGAATTTAAAGTCCATAAACTCAAAACTGTGTGTGTGAAACCAAAGACCATAGCAGATCTGATACCAACAAGCAGCAATGTCACTCTGACATTCTGCAGTAATGCCAGCTGAGCAGTAAGAAAGTATTTGTGATGCAGCACTAAAGATAACTGTGAAAACTGATGGGGAACAAACACATTTTATGAATCAAAGATATAAAGTTAACAGTCTGTTTAGCTCAAGTCTGAAAATTATGTCAAAGTCAGTAAAATTTAAAGCATCCTATGTTCAAAAAGGATTTCGCTTCATATTGATAACTATGATCAGTGCTTGTTTTTGGTAATTTCTGTAAAATGTATTCAACATGATTGTGACTAACTGCTCTCTCTCTCTTCAATGATAGACCCTCCACAGATCCTGTTCTCGTCACACTGCACCTCAACAGAAAGTCAGCTCAACTGTTCCTGTGAGACTCTGGGAAACCCGTCCCCCAATATACAGTGGTATTTGAATGGACTAACTGTCAATCACTCTAAATGCGAAATATTCAATGAGACTCTGAACAGGACAATTCTGAGGAGCTTCTTCACTCTGAATCAGCCTCATAAGAAGAATCATCTCACCTTGATTTGTCGCACCGTCAACTCTCTGGGCTCGGCCAGTCAACAATTTTGTGTCAGCAGCCAACAAGTTTCCACAGAACATCAACGTATGTCTTTTGTACATTTGCAAATATTATTGCTTAAGTTGTATGTGTACTAAAGTGGAGACCAAGGATGTTTAAAACCTTAGCCAGTGATACAGTGTACTCTACAGAGCCCACAAACAGATAATGTTAGGATTACATCTATGCTCCTCTGGGATTCACTTGCAATCAATTTCTTTGCAAGAAGTTTTAGATACCCTCTAATCCATATAAAGAATGAATTGGTTACTTCAGTCCAGTTATAATAGACACACTAGGAGTTTCATAAAATGTATGTTGTGAGTTCAAACAAACCTTATTTTTTAAAGACAACACGATTAATATACAGGTCTTTTTCTTTTTCTTTTTTTAAATTCAGTTCTGTATCCAGCGATAATATCCACTCTTGGAGTGCTACTGTTAGCACTGTTACTATGTGTGTTTTTTATCAGGTAAGTAAACAACATGAGACTTTTTCAGAAAACCTTCACACTTTACTGTAACAGTAAACTCTATTTGTCCTGATTCTATTTGACTAAATGCTGATAATTACTTTGTTTATTTGGGTCTTCGTTTGTTAAAAAAACACTTTTGCAGCTGATTTAATACTCAACATTGGTAACACTATTGATTAAATGTAATATCAATCAAATCTGTTCATCGACAGTCCATTTGACATGCTACTGGTGGTTAATATTTGCATGTATTCATTTTCAAGACGTCTGTTTACATTGTCTGTCAACATTCAGTAATGCATGTACAACTGCATTATTGCTTGCTAGTAGACAATTAATCTATTCATGCTGTGAACTAAAATGTAAATAGTGGCAAAACTACGATGTATGAATTGTATGCATATATGCTTGATATTCTACTTCATTTTTTAGGGCTCAGAAGAGTCCCTGTAAAAATAAAGGTCACTTAACAGACGAAAACAACACAGTTGCAACAAGTCAGCCTCTAACTGAAGAAGGAAATGAGGTGCTTAAAGTTCCTTTTAACAGTGTTGACCAATGCTGATACTTTTGTAACTATACAGCAAGAAGTAGATTATCTTTACCACTGATATTTTCTATGTAATTGTAGGAACCAAACACAGCAGAAGAGTGCATTTATGCAAACGCTGATGGGCTGAGAGGGGCAGAAAATTTTCACCCTGCAAACATCGCTGGACCAAGCAGCACTAACTTTCCAAACTCTGGGCCAAACCATGCAGAAGGAGGATGCAAAAAATCAGACAAGAAAGAGGACGAGTGCGAACTGATTTACTCTGATGTGAACTGGAAAATGAAAAGCAAGAAAAAGAAGGGTGAAAAGTCTTTGGACATGAATCCATCTGCCAGATCTTATTTGGAAGAGGAGAAGTGCATGGTGAGGGGAGTTAACAGAAAGTCTGTGAGCAATGCAGTAGAAATGGGAGGCCTGTATGCTCAAGTGGAGCCTAGAAATATGAGGAAGGAAGTGGGGTGTGAATATGCGCAAGTCAAATTTAAAGAACAAAGCGCTATGCAAAAATAGATAAATAGTGCTGTGAAAAAATATTTACCCCATATTTCCTGATGTCTTGCTTTGTGCAAAATTAAACTAATCTTAATATTTGGAAAAAATAACTCAAGTAAATTCAAAATTCACTTAAAAAAAAAAGTCCAAATCTATTAAAAAATTTTGATTATCTGAAACATTTTAATGTGACAAATATGGAAGGAAATAAGAAATCAGACAAATACTTTTCATAACATATTGCAACCTTTTGCATTGTTGAGCTTACTACAAAACAAATAAATAGCTGGTCTGTTCTCTGGGTGTGTCCTTGACACATGTAGTCACTATGTGGCCATTGAGCAATACAATTACAATCCCTTCATTCAGGCTTCTCTGGCACAGTATCTCAGACACTGCCTGATATTTTCTTAAACTTGGTAACTACCAGGTGGCTACAACTGGTCCAAGGAGACCTGTTAGAGAAGCTAGGAGAAGCTCTGGACATGATTCAGCACACAAATGGCCTGAGGATAAAAACTCCTCTTGAGCCTCTCTGTTTTTGTTCGGAACCTTCTGCCCGATTTCAGAAGCTGGAAGAGTTTGTTGCTGGGATGGGAATGGGTCCTTCAAAATCTGAGTTATTCTAGTCCAGCATCTCCTGATGTAAATGTCCTGTAGGGAAGGGAGAGCAGTCCTGCAGCAGTGTTCTGCCGTACGGATACTCTCTGAAGTGCTTTTTTAGCCTTGACACAGCTGTTTCCATACCAGGATGTGATGTTCTGTGTGAGGATGCTCTTCTCACACAGAACCTGTGTGAGGATTTTCTATACAGTGCCTGTATAGAAAATCCTGAGGATCTTTGGAGAGACCCTGAACTTCCTCAGTTGTCGTATGTGGTACAGGTGCTGCCTAGCCTTTTGGTCTGGACCTGAATGTGGGCAGACCATGCCAGGTCTGAGGAGATGTGGACACTAAGGTACTTGAAGAACTGCACCCTCTCCACTAGAGCTCCATTAATGATAATGGGCTTGTGGTCTCTGTGCTGACTCCTTCTGAAGTCCACCACCAGCTCCTTGGTCTTGCCGACGTTCAGCTGGAGGTGGTTGTTCTAGCACCACGATGCCAGATTCTTCACTTCATCAATGTAGGCCGCCTCATCGTTATTGGAGATGGTGCCCAACACCACTGTGTCGTCAGCAAACTTCACAATGGTATTGGCCACACAGTCTGAAGTGTAGAGGGAGTAGAGCAGTTGCGAGAGGACACATCCCTGTGGCACTCCTGTGCTGATGGTGAGGCTGTCGGAGATGCACCTACCCACCCTCACCACCTGAGTTCTGCCATTGAGGAAGTCCAACACCCATGCACATAGACGGCTGTTGAGTCCCAGATCCCTCAGCTTTGTGAACAATCTACCGGGCAATATTGTGTTGAACGCTGAGCTGTAATTAAAAAAAGGCATTCACACATAGTTAGCCTGTTTCTTGTCCACGTGGCTAAGGGTGGTGTGCAGGATGTCTGCGATGGCGTTCTCCGTGGATCTGTTGAGTCGGTAGGCAAACTGGAGCGGACCTGTGGTGTCTGGGATTGAAGAGGAGATGGTTTTCTTCAACAGCCTCTCGAACACCTTCATAACCATCGAGGTCAGTGCAACTGGCCGGTAGTCATTCAGATGATGGTAGCAGACGGCCGGTGATGCCGTCTGGTCCCGCCGCTTTCCTTGTGCTCACTCTCCTCAGCGCTGTTCGGATGTCGTGCTCTGCGATGCTGATCGCCGGTCCCTCTCTGATGACGTCACTGTCCTCAGTTGTCAGGCAGTTGTTAGAATTAGCCGCCTGGCTAACCTCGAAACGGGCGTAGAACTGGTACAGCTCATTGGAGAATGCAGAGTCGGCATTGGTCGGCGCAGTGTCCCTGGCTTTGTAATCCATGATTGTGCGTAGTACGTGCCAAATGCTCCATGTGTCGCCCCGGCTGAAGTGAGACTCCACTCGCTCCCGATATCGGCATTTGGCATCCCTCACCGCGCATCACACGCCGTATGAGGCCGCTTTCATCACAACATCACAACATACATCTGAATCTTATTGTTTAGCTGTTTTGTTTGTTTGTTTTATTAACATGCAATTGCAGGAAAAGTGTTGTTAACTGTTCTGATAATTAGTTGTTGTATTGTGTACCCAGTCACAAACTATGTCTATATAGAGGTGATATTAATATATTTATAGTATCATGATATGCAGTCACAGTCAGTTGTGCTTAATTTAATTTTCTATCTTGTTGTGGGCTATAAATATAATGAATGATACTTAAACATAAATACAAGTGATTCTGTTTTTTGTTTTGTTTTTTCAATATATTATTTTGTCAAACATTTTTTGGAAGTTAAGCACCAGTGTTGGACAAGTTACTTGAAAAAAGTAATCAGTAAGTAATTACTGATTACTTCCCCCAAAAGGTAATCCCGTTATTTTACTGATTACTTATTTTCAAAAGTAATGAATTACTTAGTTACTTAGTTACTTTTTAAAACATGATTTACAACCTGAATAGGTAATAAAGTGATAGATCTTTCAGCCCAATTCTACTTTTTCTGCATAATCCATTGGTGCTTTCGAGTTCACTCATGGATTTGCTCTTTCATATTCATAGAACGCATTCACTTGCTATTACACACTAGACATGGGGAGGATTGACTGGTAGATATCGAATAAATTTTGGTTTTTGTACCTTTGTCCTCTAAGCTGTATGACATCATTTCACTGAGTAAATGTTCTGGGTGCATTGCATTGGCTGATAATAATCTTTGTTCATCACCTGATCTAACCTGATTTTAAGTCCCTACATTCCTCCTTATTGCATTAAAAAGTGTAGCAAACTAGAAATTTAGTGAAACAAAGACAGCCATTCTTTCAATCTTTCAGTGTTTCTCATGTTCAGACTGACTGCCTTAGTCAGCCTCAAACAGGAAACAGTTTCCTGTTTGAGGCTGAATAGCAGAGAAAGTGGCAGAGCATCTAAGCTTGTCTTTTCTCAAGTCACTTTAGATTTCTCAAGTCATCTAAAGTGACTTGAGAAAAGAAACAGACTGGGACATCACAAACACAGTGAAGCAGCATCTATCTAGCCAGGTACGGTTCTTGTAAGATTTAAAGATTGAACTTCCTTTCTGAAGATCTAAAGCTGTATTACAAATGTAAAGCTAAGTTTTGTGCTTTGTTCAACCTGGAAGAACTTGAGGATTCTAGTGTAGAAAAATCAACTGTAGTGCTATACACTTCCTCAGTAACTGATTTTGTGTCACAGTGTATCATGACCTGTATTATAAATACAATGTTACAGCTGCTGTGTTTCAAAGATGACTTATCGGATGCTGTAAAGTGACTGCTGTCTTCATGGCGGCCGCTCATCTGCTGAGTTTGATGACTGGTAATAAAGACCCACTTTTGTCTTTAGTTCTGTTGCTGATAATGCTTTTAAACAGTTAATGCAATGTAAAAACACAGACAACAAGTGTCAATTTGGAATGACTAAGAGAGGGAGGGAGAAAACAGGAGAGAGAAAACATGGGGAAAAAAGATAAAAGCTGCATGGGTTTCACAAAAAATACAATAACATATAAAAATTCAGGCAATGTTCATTTCATACTATTGGCATTATTGTATTATTTTCCTGTAGCAATACATTTGGTTACTTTGACAATGTGAAAAAGTCATAATCGTGTAACCTCATCAAATTAATCTTTAGTAATTTTGCAGTAAAGGTAGGATATGTTCCTTAGAATTTGAAGACAGAAAGCAGAATACAGGAAGACAGAACATCCACTCATTTCATTTTTAATGAGTTGACAGCAATATTAGGTTGATTTCTGAGAAGTCACTGGTGGTTTTTTGTTATTTATATATGGTTGATGTCTCTTAGTGGTTAGCCAGCTTTCATAATAGCATCTCTCTGTGCATCAGCGTTTCCATTTGTGGGTCATCACCAAAGATATTATTACAAAATTTTTGTGGTTTAGTGATGTTTCTGACCTTCCCTTCTGCTCTCCTCTTCCTCTCACCCTTTTGAGGTACCTCAAAAGGGTGAAATGGTAAAAATAGTAAAATTTAAATTTTAGTGATCTAATCATGATTTTGTCAGTAATAGAAATTAAACATTCCTATCAGGAACTTTGTATGCACACATTCATCAGCATGGTTAAAACTGATTTAGATTTTTAAAAAGTTAACCATCAATTTCACAGGCACTTCTCGACAGAAACAAAGGCTAAAGATACATTTTATTTATTTATTTGCTACTTCTGATTCTGTCACATTTTATTCTTAAAATATACCATGGTTCACAGATGATGCATCTCTTCTCTGTACAGGAAGTTTGCAAGTTCGATGCCACAAACTTGCTCATGTTATACTTCTCAACAGTGTATCTTTAGTTCACAGTGATATTAAATGCTAATCTAAATAGAGGTTAATTCCTGTTAAAAAAAAACTTTTTTCTTTTCCACTGTCACCAAGTCCTTGCTCAAATGGAGTAATTTGATTGTTGTGGTTTTCCCTGTATTATCGTAGAGTCTTTACCTTACAATATGAAGTACCATGTGGCAACTTTTATTGTGATTTGGTGCTATATAAATAATATTCAACTGAACTGAATTAGTTATTAACTTGTAAAAAGCAACATAATAAAAATAGGCTATTCATCCTAGAAAATATATCAATATTTGTCATCTTAATAGGGGTGTGGGAAAGGAATATTATATTTTGAATTGTATCAATACAAGGACACCAAATATCAATATTTTTATTTAATCAGTTAAAATAATCTGGGAAGAATTAGAACAAGAAGTTTCAGCTCACACACCACCATCCAGAAATAACTTTAGACAAGCGAGCGTATGTTAAATCAGCTCAACCGAAATAAGTGCCCAACACTGGACACACATAATTTGACAAAGCTACTTCATATTTAAGAGCAAGTCAGTTGCTCAGTCATATGAGTAAAAGTAAAATAGCAACCTCCTAGCATCAGTCAAAAACACCAGTCCCTGTCTGGTAAATTGACCTTTTTCAGCAACTGACTGCAACTTGTGGTGACTAAACCCATTTGTAGGCATTTTGTGGTCATGAGTGTGCACGATACGATAGATTGACAGCATGTAGCCATCAGTCTCAATGAGTCTTTGAGACTTTACTCAACTGGCTGCCTGCTGGTTGTGGTCCGGTTATATCCCTATAGAAGGTGGCTGAACACAAATGTAATAGTTAAACATGAATATCTGTTAAATGGGAATTTCAGTCTAGACAGTAACGTGTGATTTTCAGTGACTTATTACTGTTAACTGTTGTATCATCAGAAGATGATTGCTTTAGATTGCATGTAATTGCCCATTTGACCCCATTCAGTCAGAGTGTCACGGTCGATAGCAGGGACTCAAGCGCAGAGCAGGTTGACGTTTCCAAACACATTTTATTTACAACACCAGTACAGAATATATACAGTGAGGGGGGGAAATCCAGGGTTCCAAAGGTCCAAGGGGAAGGTCTCTCACACTTGTACTCGTCTCCACGTCCAAACTCACACACATTCACACAGCAGGAAGGTCACAGGTCCAGGGAGGAAAGCTATCACACAGGAGAGGGAAATTATTCAAAAGTCACAAAATACTCAAGCATGGATTCACGGGAGCTGAGAGGATCACTAACGTGTCCCGCACAATCATCCAGCGATGAGGAGGTCTGCGTCCTGGCCTTAAGTAGTGGACAGGTAATGACAACTAAACGTGAATGGGTGTGTGGGCCAAGGGGGGTAGCCCACAGTGAGCTCCGCCCAGGCAGAGCGGTGAAGGAGATAGAAACAGAGAGAGACAGAGAACACAAAACACATGCAGCCTTGCGGGGCCGGCTGGGTAGACACGGGGACCATAACACAGAGACTGATAGCAAACTGACTCCAGGTGTTAGTGAC